CAATTTTTAGTGGAGTCGAAAATTTGGAGGTAAATAAAACACCGAAACCCGGCAAATAAATAGGCGGTCAAATTTTTAGAGGGGTCGAAATTTTGGAGTTTTCGCGGTGTTAATTATTCCATTTCAATGAAACTTAGTACAAAGATGCTCTAGGACAATGTACAAACCTAATTAGTTTGGGGTAAAAATCTGTTCATATTAATTCCCTAATAAGCATAATAATTCATAATTTTTTGGTTCTGTTACATTGCGCAGACCTCATTAGTTTTACACTCAAATCTGGTCATATTAATTTTCTGATTTGCATAATTAGTTTTCAGCTAAGTAATTTCGAATTATATTTAATGTGTCTCCAATACTCTCAGCACATGGGAGTTCTTTCTAAGCTTTCTTTGATTTTACTTTCTTTCTCATTTTCAAGTTGCTGCAAGTTATCTCTCACATTTTCTCAGAGACTCTGCGGCATATGTCAATTAAACTTGGCAGGTTGATGAACAAATCTGTGTTATATATGCACGTAATTTTTTTTTCCAGATCTGAAAATTCGAAGAGGGTCTTTTTCGAGATTTTTATCCAAAATTACCTCTCTCTACTACACTGACAGAGCAACTGAGCATGCTCATAATAATTGATTCTTTTAAAAAAGATTCAGATTCATGAATTCCTGATATCTGATTCACAAGTTTTACCAAATGTATTCGATCGGTAGTGTATACTTTTCAGACCTCAGAACCAATTTCTCAGAACCCAATTTCAAAATAGCTTCCTTATCATCGGAAGTCATCTTTTAGGTTATTATTTATATGACCACACCCTATCCAAAAAATATGCAAATTAGCTAAATTCAGTTATTTCCTTTGATCTCAGCAACCATTGATCCGATTTTGTTCATATTTGGTAGGATTGCACTTTGGATATACTTCTGACAGTAATGACCACCCCTCCAGAAAATATGCAAATTAGATCAATGCAGTTATTTGCTATCTCTACCACCACCATGTCGATTTTATTCATATTTGGTATGATTACACCTTGGCACGAGTTTATTTATTTAACACTTTATTTAAAGAGGGTAGGCCAATATACAATAAAGTAATTTTCATTGGGCCCTCTGTAGGGACAAAAAACACAAAATAGTTGATGTGCTTTTGGCAATAATGACCACACCCTCCCAAAAATATGCAAATTAGATCAATGCAGTTTTTTGCTCTTATCCCAGCAACCATTGAGCCAATTTAGTTCATGTGTGGTAGGATCACACCTTGAAATGAATAGATGTGCTTTTGGCAGTAATGACCACACCCTCCCAAAAATATGCAAATTAGATCAACGCAGTTATTTCCTCTTATCCCAGGAACCATTGGGCCAATTTTGTTCATACTTTGTAGGATTACACCTTGACACGAGTAGATGTGCTTCTGACAGTAATGGCCACACCCTTCAAAAAATATGCAAATTAGATCAATGCAGTTATTTGCTATCTCTACCACCACCATGTCGATTTTATTCACATTTGGTATGATTACACCTTGGCACAGGTAGATGTGCTTCTGACAGTAATGACCACACCCTCCCAAAAATATGCAAATTAGATCAATGCAGTTATTTGCTTCTATCTCCACCACCATGGTGTCGATTTTATTCATATTTAGTATGATTACACCTTGACATGAGTAGATGTGCTTTTGGCAATATTGACCACACCCTCCCAAAAATATGCAAATTAAAACAATGCAGTTATTTGATCTTTGATTTGTCCCAGGTCCTGGTAATATACTAAGACCTTAATTAACAAAGAAGTCATGTACATCTAGGGGCACTCAGATTTATGAATGCAGTTTCTTGAGCAAGTATACATGTATGACAAATAGTTTTGTTGCACTTAGTAGATTCTGAACATGGGTCAGTGGAAGTTTTTAGCTGTCAGTACAAAACTAGATTATGGGAATATGTACCCACATAGAGTACATATTCATTCACCTGTTTGCAGATGTTTCTTGTACTACTTTATAATCAAATAACGGGGACTGTGACATTCATGTCTTGTTATGAATTGTTATGTCATCATGATGCCAAGTACTGTTATCTTGAACATTCTATCTAAAGTTAGTGTGTGTGAAAGTTTAACTTAATTGAGTTTTATATAAAAACCAATAAAATCACTGTAAAATTTTTATTAGAAGCTGTAGCATCTATTAAAATCGTATAATGCAAGAAAGGGGACACAGCTTTAATTCGAGATTTTACACATCTTTAGAAATTGTTCAAAAAGAATGGTTGCAGCTTATATCAGTAATGTAGTTTCTAATTCAGATTTTAAGGTCTTACTGCTTTGAAATTTCAGGCAGAAATGGCTGAAAAACAGAGAATGAAACGTTTAACTCTGAATATTAATGAAAGACAAGAAGAAGAAGACTATCAAGGTAAAAGATAATTTAGTTTTTTTTATAGTGTATATTTTTGTAGTTTGTAACAGAACATTTAAAATTTTAAGACAATGATCTTGTCATAATCCATAATAGTACTATGGAAAAATATTTTACAGAAATGATAGCTGCAATGCAGAGACCAACTGCTGTTAATACAACTAGAGAAAGGAAATCCAAGTTCCAACATCCGAAAGGTGCTCCAGATGCAGATCTTATATTCAAGTCAGGAGGAAGGTGCTGTATCTGTATTTATCTGTGTTTGTTTTACTTGCTCACTATCATGTAATCCTGTTAGCCAATAATGATCAGAAAACTTACTTTGTGTACTTTTCAATAGTTTACATTGTCCAGTTTCGCTGAAGCTGACTATCCTTGGCTGCCAACAAATGTGCATAATCATGTTAGGAGAAGCTGTACGTAATTATATTTTGAAAAGCTGTATTTGACCTCAGTTGAATTGACTGATTTTCAAGTGCCAAGGAGCTAGATTCACCAATCAACTTCTAAAAACAATTTAAATCAATTTTCAATTTAAACCGATTGATGTTGTTGTCTTATGTCACGGCTTTTCAATAGAAACACACAACATCACATGACTTTGTGTTCCATTTACACATCAAAGCATGTCCCACTGTGTTTGATTACATCAACAGTAAATACTGGTTTATAGTAGGAACCTTGACTGGCGAAGATGCAGCTATATAATGCTGCAGTATTTGTATGAAATGAAAAAAAAAACAAGCAAAACAATACAATCAACATAGCTCTTCACAGTTTAACATTATGTTTTGTTTCAGAAGATGGTAAATTCAATGCATATCAAAACACTTGTGAACCAAGTGTGATAGCCAGTACCTCAAGAACCTTATTACTGTTTGGGAAACATGAGATGTGTCACACTCTGTACCTATTAAAGAGAAGGTTCCGGATTTCCCTAAGTGGAGAGTCAAAAGGACGTGGATGATCCCAGTACGTTATAGACCATCATACAAATTTGGAAAGAAGCTATGGCTTGGTATATTATCAGTTTTGTCATCAATTGTAATTCTTGGTGACTCTACCAAACTAAGAATTAATTTAATATCTGTGATGTTAATTTTCTTGTGTTGGATCAATACTAGGGACATTGTTATTCAGTGTAACACTGAGTTTTTCACAGCTACTTGATTATATTCACATCTACAATATGTCTTAAGCTGCCTTATTGCAATTGTATATTCTTATAACTCTCTGTTTAACAACAATCTTCTAAACCACAGAAAGCAAAGTGTTGAGGATTGAAAAAAATTTTAGTAGCTAAATACAGGAATTAATTTTGATTCTGTAAATTTCAGCATATTAAATCACCACTGATGGTGTTTAATAACGTATATGATACATCAGCTATGTAAGTTTATTGGTTTAGTGCTACACTGGAATTTCGTTCACATGCAGTTAATTTTGTGTCATACCTGAACCTGTTACTTCCTGACCCTGTCTTTGCAAGTATGCAATCTCTGTAATGGCATGTGCAGTCAGTGGATGTAAATGAGACTTGAAACCTGAAACCAATACAAGAATAACTGTATTAAAAGTAAACAAACATGTTTCGCTTTCAAAATGAGCAGATAAAAGATGATGTAATAAGTACAACTTTTTTTTCATTGGATTAATGGTGATGGCTTGCTGGCTGGCAGGCAAGCTGGTGGGATTGCATGTTGGCTGGTTGTAGTTCTGAAAAACATGTGTGGGCAAATAACAACAGTATGTGTATTCAATAGTCGTATGCGTCAATCCATTATGCATCTCATTTCTTAGTCAAAATATTTTATCTTTTCTTAGGTCACTTGTTTTTTTGTTTTTTTATCAGGGTTCTCCCCAGAACATCATAGAGTAGGGAGCTCCCTACTCAATAATTTAGGATAGCAAAAGAGCTTACTTTTTGATTAATATGTTCTATTGTCAGGTGTTTTGTTATTTTCATGTATTGTATATTGATTATACATGTACCTTCTGAGCGGCACATATTTTAAATGCTTTGACACATACTGGAAAATGCTGCAACACATACTGGAAAATGCTGCAACACATACTGGAAAATGCTGCAACACATACTGGAAAATGCTGCATCTCTTTCACACTTTAATAGTCACAGTATTATTCATTACACAGTGTTCTTTACAATTTCAATTTATAGAATAATCACCACCGATAAAATTATGAATTCTTGGTTTTTTAAAGGAAGTGTATTCATCAGTGTGAGGATTAAAAAAAAGTCCAGTACAACAAGGATATGAAATAATCCTACATTAATGTTACAATACTTTGAATGTAATATTGCTAAATGACAAGTGACAAGCATATTTTCATCTGCATTGTAAGTACAGTTAAATTGGAATGAAGCACTGAGGTTGAATTTTTACACCGAAAGTTGTTTCTTACTGATTGTATGGCTATTTATTTTTAATGATTTTATCAGTTTATTCAGTCTTTTTACAAGATCTGACAAATAAATACCATTACCAGCCAATGCTTGTAGAATGTTTGTATCATTTCCCTCTTTCCATGATGATAATCCTTGTGTATCTTGACATTATTAGTCCTTAATCGAACACCTCTATCTTGGACATCCTTGGATCTGTTCACATTCTTTACTCATACATATTGGGATACATATGCATGTACATGACTGAACAACGTCCATTTGTGACATTCAGTTTATTTATTTGGCGTGGGGGAGAGGTGCTGCTGCTGCTCTTACTTACTATAGTTGTGATAAGTATTCGATCCTGAGTTACCAGGTAATACTAAACCAGCATAATTTTAGATTTGTTGTACAGAGTGCAGTAAACCATGGGGTTTATCTATATTTCTATACTGATATGTACTGTAATGTCCTTGTTAATATCTGTTTGTGGATTTGTAAATTCCTGTTGATACCGATATCGTTTGGGTATGATGTTCAGTGGGAAATGCCGCCTAAGGTGAAATTATTTCTAGAAAATCCTTGCAATTTTTGGTACTTTTTGGTGAGTCTGACTACACCATGGGTGAATGCCTGTTTTTTCTACTTCATGTTATTACCACTTAAACTAAAAACTAGTCAAAGGTGGTACAACGTACCAACCAATGGTGTCATCTAGTGTGAATAACAACAAAATTGAAATTGTCAGGCATTCAGAATGACTTTTAGAGACGAATAGAAGCAGGTGAGGTGAGGTCTTAGTTCCACCAGATTCGCTTAAATCAAATGTTAACGCTGGTTAAATGCCCTAGCTGGTCTCATAATGCAACAATAATACAATTCTTGTTTTGAGCTAGTTCCTTTGATTGCTGTTTAATATTCTGATAAAACAAGACTTTGTATAGCACACATCCATAGTAATTAATTTTATGTAATTGTACTGTCATTGTGAGCGCTTAGTATGAATGCATGTTCTTTCATCTTCAGAGCACTACTTGCTTATCAGCTGTTGGATTACCTTGCTCACAACAAGACTATTCCGAACAACATCTTGTGCAAGCCTGTGCACACTATAGTTTTCCTTTTTTAGTCCCCGTTCGGACGCTATCTGAAAACGGGGACTTATGTTTTGACCTCTGTGCGTCTGTGCTTGTAT